CTTGTGCTATCTGGGTAAGAGCTGAAGTAGGAGTAAGAAATAAAATGGATTTATTTCCTTACTCCTACTCCTTACTCCAGCTTACTCCATGTATTGTAGACCAGCCTTAAGACATCCAGCACCCGACAAGTACATTCCGATTCAGAAGGGCCGATTGCACGCGGAGATTCCTCGAATCTCCCGAATATCGATCATCCCGCGAATTGCCTCCGAGAGCCTCTTCACTCGTGCGTACAGCTGATTCGCGTGACGACCGATCAGCAGGGCCGATCAACGATTCCGGGATTAACGGCGCCCGTCCTGACGTGCCTCGCGTCGTCTGCGTTCAGCCGCTCAGCTGTCGTGACGATGCTCGTGATGTAATAACCGAATTACTATGGTACAGTGTCGGGACCGTCGGGGTTGAGGGTTCACGCCTCACGCGTTATTTACCATTCTGCCCCGTCACTGCGATCGCGAGTGAACTCGGTTCAACTCCCCTCGGGCGGCGATGGACGAGATGGACAGCAATAAGGACGAGGCGGAGCGATGCATGGAGCTCGCGGAGCGGTTTATGCGGGAGCGAAAATACGAGGAGGCCGAGAAATTCGCCCGCAAGGCCCAGAAGCTTTATCCGACGAAGAAGGCCGAGGGTACGTGCGCGTGGCGTCCCGTGTCCGCATGTTGATTTTACCACGTTACACGTTCAGGCGGAATAGGGCCTGGTCTACGACGAGTCGTTAGTCAGAAGTCGGAACTGTATGTTGATCCCCTTCCTTTCCGGATGGAAGAAACAAGACCGACACGTAGCTCCGACCAACGACTAACGATTTTCATTGCAGACCGAGCCTGGAATTTTCGTTTTTCGCGAGAGCACATGCTTCTCTCTTCCTTTTGCCAGAATAACGGTGGTTACGGGGATCTAATAATTATATATTTGTAGATCTGCTGGCGGAAGTGACTCTCCAAGCAGAATCAGAAATCCGAGTCGGCGGAGCCTAACGTTAGAAAGCGGCAAAATGTAGCTAAAGACGGAGCACATTCCCAGAGTAATTCTGAATACACAAAGGAACAGTTGGAGCACGTCAAGAGGTAGATATTTCGAGATCGCGTAGATTATTTTGGAACAATGTATTCGTTTTTTATCAATTTATATGTCATATTTTCTTTTTGGTATAAATTGTGCTTCGTTTTGCCTGTCGCAGGATAAAGAAATGCAAGGATTATACGAGATTGTGGGTGTCAGCAAAGATGCTACGGACAGCGAGATCAAGAAGGCGTACAAGAAATTGGTGCTTCAGTTGCAGCCTGACAAGAACAATTACGTCGGATGCCTTCCAGCAGCAGACAGACAGGCAGGTATGCCTGGTGCTCGACTCTTGAATTTACTCGAAAGACAAAATACGAGAATTCAGTTTTCACGGAAAACTCGCAAGTCGATTGACTAAAAGCAAATGCGTGACTTTTCCGTAAGAGCCGAATTCGCGCGTACGTTTATCAGGCGACCCTGTGTAACACAGTTAATCGTTTCATCTCTATTGTTTGCGATTAGTAAAGACATAATGATTCTCTGCGTTACACCACGCTAGGCCTCGTCTCTCGCTGGAAAGCACCCGTTGATCCTATGCCAATTCACGTATATAAATCTGTTTAAGGTTGCAGCCAAGTTGGACGTGTCCCCGATAAGCGACATTACCGACGTAAAAGTCCCGGATACCTTCGTGCGCACTATTTACGCCGGCAATGCCATTCAGACTCTCAAGTCCAAGGATAACGTGAAGGTGGTGTCCGTGAGAGGCACCTCTTTCGAGCCGCTGCCTCTGGAGCGTGGCGACGCCAAGTGCGAGAGCGTCCCTACTGGCGATTGCGCCTCCGGCCAAGTGGAGTACGTTAAGCAAGAGCTCAGCAGGTCCGACAGGCCCTAATTGACGTCCGCGAAAATTGTTATCTCCGGTGGACGTGGAATGAAGTCCGGAGAGAACTTCCAGTTGTTGTACACATTGGCGGACAAGCTCAACGCGGCCGTGGGTGCGTCCAGCGCCGCGGTCGACGCCAGCTTCGTGCCGAACGACATGTAAGTGGGACAAACCGGGAAAATTGTCGCGCCTGTAAGTAAAAATTGATAAGTAACGGAACAAGTAATATCCGGCCATAACTGGCGGAAAGTTTGTCGCGAAAAATGTAAAATATAAATGGAGATCTTTCTGACATAAACGCCTTGAGGGAATTGATACGACGTGCCTTATCGGTTGCTCTCTTCCCAGATAACATGCATGTCTAAAAGACATCTTTAAGACGTCTTTAACACGTCTTTTAGACATCTTTTAGACATACACGTCTAAAAGATATCTTAAAGACGTCTTAAAGAAGTCTTGAAGATGTCTTAGACAAGCATGCTATCTGGGTTGTTTCAATCTTGTGTGTCGCGGTCAAGCAACAAATGCTCCGCTACAAACGCTTCGAAGTGTTTCCCTTCTCCTTTGTAATAATCTACATATATTTATAGACTATTCGATTGGAATATTCTGAAATTAAGAATATTCATAGAACTCTGTGTGTCTATCTGGGAAGCGACAGGCTTGACTCGGAATGCAACAATTTCATGATTGCGGTTTTTGCGGTTTCAGAATCTGTACATAGCGGTTGGGATTTCGGGGGCGATTCAGCACCTCGCTGGTATGAAGATTCCAAAACGATTGTGGCGATCAACAAGGACCCCGAGGCTCCCATCTTTCAAGTAGCGGATTACGGATTGGTCGCGGATTTATTTAAGGCCATGCCCGAGCTAACGGGGAAGCTGTAAATTGCGAGTGACCCGTGTAAAGATTTCTATACTTCAAATCGTTTATTTTTGTTACTATATTGTACCATAATACAGGAACATTAGATTAAACTTTTTATGACAGTTTTAACGAGGATCAATTTATTATCTGGCAATTTTTATGTTTAAGAATCGCTACGTTTCGACCATGGGTTTTGCAAAATTAATTAACGATTAAATATACTCGGTCCGTAACGTAAAATTCGACTGGTTTTTTAGATCAAAAATCTGTTAATACCAACGCGATGTATATAAAAAAATTTGTTTTACACCATTGTCAACGGGTGATGCCTTACATTGCCTAAACGTTCTCCAACATTACTTTCGTTAATTTGAATTATTTCAAGTTTTTGTCTTCCCTTTCTTCGTTATTTCTCATTTTAGAAAGGTTTTATAAATGTACAATTCAAATTGGAATGATGTACAATCGTAAAATTAAACTTTAGTTCTTCTCTAAAACGTCTACTTCATTTTCAAGCGTAGAAAGTCTAACATAGTCTTCGCTTATAATACAAGGAACAACGAGCGTTCAGTCGCGTCCGTTTATCGAGGTTAATCGAGCCATGTTGGTCCGCGCGAGGCATAGACATAGTATATCTAGACTGCTGGTTGGCGGAGTGGGGGTAGAGCTCACGTAGAAAAGGATGCACTCTGTTTCGTGCATTGAACGTTCTCTCTCGCACACGCGAAAAGAGGGGATAAGGGGAAGCAGTTACTAACCTGTGCGAGAGAGAACGCACAGACACGAAACAGAGTGCATCCTTTTCTACGTGAGCTCTACCCCCACTCCTGAAATTTGAGAGAACCAGCAGTCTAGATATACTATGTCTATGGCGCGAGGTGTCGGTATAATACGTGCGCTAAGGATCCATTTATTTATACGAGATAAAGTATAATTAATACGCGCCAGAGGCACTCGCAAAACTGACAATCTCTCTGGCAAAAGTATTCAGTCCACGCAAGAACGTATCCGTAATTCAATTTAAGAATTATCGAACGATTATTATAGGTTATGTTGTACGCTTTTCTTTACGAACGTCGTGTCGTAATAAACCTCGTCGCCGCATACGAATCTCGTTTATCGTGTCTTATATTTTCGCTGTATTGAACGGAATATGTCGTAACAATTTTATCGTCGTTCAATTGTAATTTTGTGCTGTGTAAGAGCGTCGATTCATGGGCGAATTGTCATGTTTGCAGACTACGCGGAGTATTCGTCAGTGTCAGAAATTTAGCGTTGTGCGGCAGCTCCGCGATCAACAGGACGAATGTATTGTCTACCGCGACGAGTCTCGCGCCAGCACGCGACTTTCACGTTTCCGCGACGTGCAGCACGAATTTGCGTAATTGAAAATTGGGAAGCGTATTGCCAGAAATTGTTTCCCGACGAGAACAAAACTTCGTCAGCGAGCGACAAGATTCAGTCGGAGTCTCCCCTGAGACATATGGATAACATTAGGCATGCGTGCGAAAGTCAAATAGCCTCATTGGACCACTCGATTAATATTTACGAAGAGATCAGGAAGGCTGGGACATGTGCCTCGAATTTCGCGAGTCAACATGTTCAGACACCTGAGACGCAAGATCGGTAACGCGGACCGTCGTTGTGAGAAAATTGATTAAAGCTTAATTCTTTTATGTATTGACCGATTTATTGATCATTCGGGCCAGGTGAGGTTGAAATTTACAACTTCAGTTTAGTCCTCCTCCAATGGCGCCTCTTAGCGTTGTACCTGAAAATAAGCCAAAACGATACCAAATTGTACGAAGATATAAATTCCAATTAGAACATACATTTTAATTATTTCTCGCAACGATAACTGTATACTGTGTAACACTAATTTTATTTTGATACACGTACTATAGTAACGTTTGCACAATTACATGCAAGGAGAGAATGAAGGGTGTTTATAACCAACATACACGGAGTGAACATCATATATGTACGCGTACACCTAAGATATCAAGCACATTCTTTACGCCACGTAAACCCTTAAAATATATTTACTATTAGGTTCGAACTTACCTTATTGTGTTCCCCGTTCTCATCCTAACCCATTGCGGAATGGGCCTATTTTGTTTTAGTTTTTTCGCTAACTTACGCTTTATAATAAACGTCTTGTGTGCAGACTGAAACATATACGAAACGAGATCAGTGGTTGCAGATGCGATTTTTAAGTATTTTGGCGTGCGGGAAGGTAGGATCGCAAAAAGGGAGATGGATACAGCGAGAACGCGCGTAAAACTCACCATCGTGCCTCTCAACGTTTCTCCAACAAGCGAAATGAGAGATGAACCAGGTGGACTCGCGTCTCGCGAGAGTCGCAAGCGCGTGTGTAAAATATTATGTAGATGGTCATTCGATAGATCACTATGGTCTCCTCCCTAGCGCTATGGCTTGTGTTCACGATGCTAGTTCCGAGAGATGTGTAGCCAATCAACTTGCAGCTATTCCGTAAAGGCCAATGTCCACGATGCTAGAACTTGGTCCAAGGGTGCTTTCGCGACGTAGATCAAAATGATCCGTGCTATGATTGGTCAAATCTGAAATTTCGTAGCAACTCATTGAAATTTTATTCAATGAAATTCCAGATTTGACCAATCATAGCACGGATCATTTTGATCCGGATCATTTTGATCTACGTCGCGAAAGCACCCCAAGTTTCGAGAAACGTGTAGCCAATCAACGTGCAGCTATTCCATAAAAGCTGCAAGTTGATTGGCTACGCATTTCTCGAGACCAGAGGCCCGATTCTCGAAATCATTCGAGGAAGAAACGTATACGAACATTCTGCTCTGACAGAAAAGTTGAAAGTCGATTGGTTAAAGCCACGCGAATAGCCAATCAGCTTGCAACTTTTCTGTGAGAGCAGAATTTTCCGCATACGTTTCTCCTTCGAATAAATTCAAGAATCGAGCCCCAGAGGGTCGGTTCTGTATTTTACAATATAGTGAAAATGATTTGCAAGCAATCCAGCAGGAAAAATAGCAACCCGCAGCGGGC